AAAAAAAAAAAAAAGAAAATGAGCAAGGATACAACTCTCCTAACTGTATAATTCCTATCTGTGATTCTTAATGATACAACTTTCAGCTGCAAGATGGATCTCCTCTATTCATTTTCCCTGGTTCTGACCAATTAAACATTTTTTCATAATCGTAACATTTGGCACATGCCAAATCTTCAAAAGAAAAGGAGGTTGTTAGCAACATACCATTTCCCATTGCTAATTTATGCTGAATTCGAATTCTTAAAAGTATAATGTATACATAGAGGACATTATTAACACATTCAGGCTGAGTAGAACAACCACAGTATGATTTTGTGGCTTGTTTTTTGTGTGGATGGGTTTTTTTTTTTTTCAGAATAATTCCTTTCTAAAAATAAAAAAACAACTTCGTCGATTCATAAATTAATTCCTATCGAACTGAGGTCCAATTTTGCATATAGCTTATATACACTGATAGAATACAAACGATAATGATGAGATTGTGTAAGTTTATCCAGGAGAAATCACTGTTTCCTGAAGGAATTAGAACGTCTCTATAGATAGCCATTTGGTGTTTTATGGTTTGACTCATGTTTAATGGTCACCGACAGCATATACCGTTGAGTCATTTATTTTGAAACCATACGGCGACCACTGTAGATTTCCTTTCCGGCACCATCCGTTTCCGATCAACAAAGTGCAACTTTTCTGCATTGTGGATTTCTGAGTGCAATCCAGAAGCAGCGCTGGGGACCAGTGAGTGGATGAGTTCCCAGTTAGCCGCCAAGGCTAAGGTTCCACAATCCTGACCTAGCCGGGCGTATCCCCTGGGCTCACCGAACAAAGCAGGGAAAATCAAGTTTATGGCCTCCACTGGGGCCAAATCCAGCCATGAAGTTTACGTACTAGTTACAGCTACACAAACCCAGGTTCCCCGTTTGCTTATATATTGTCCCTGGCAGAGGCTGTATGAGCAAATCCTAAAGTATTTACTACCTGGCCCTTTACAGAGAAAAAACTGTCACCTCCTGGTAGAGACGGCTTGCTTTTCCTCTCAACTTGACCACCTCAAGGGCTATGACCATCAAAACCTCTTAAATCCTTCCTGGATAAAGAGGATATATACAAAAACATTCCAAGAGGCCAACCACGCCATGGTCTGCTCCCACCGAATGCAGACCTGCCTCAACTAGAGGCAGCTTCCCTTGAGTTCTTACACTATCACTTCTACTTATACCCTTTTATTCATGGTCCTCAAAGCAAACCATCAGTTGATCCAGCAAACCATCAGGTGCCCGGCACTGGGAACATAGCTGGGGATGGAGCTTGCTTCCTTATACCGCAGACCCTGCTTGCTGGTTACACATTGATAGGAGCCCTTGGCTTACTCCCCCCACTCAATGTGACCCAACCCCTAACACCTACAGACCCACCCCCTCACATGATCTTGGAACAAAGAAAAGGTGTCTATGTTTCTGGTACACATTTTTTGCAAAATCAAAATCTGTCCAGGGCCAGATCTATTCTTCCCATGCTAGTCCTCCTGCTCATGAAAAGCTTTTCATGCATGGGTGTAGGATTGTTCCTGCATTCAGCCTGAGAACACAGCCAGGAAATACGAATTGGAGAGTGCAAGATAGCTCTTCTCTCCATTCAATTATGCTCATCCTCTGAAGACCTGAAAATGAACCAGCCACAGGTGCAGACACTGTATAAAATTGTTCAGGAAGCCCCAGTAAACAGGGCCATGACCATCTCCACCCACTTCTTTCTCTTACCTGATCTCCCTGTAGCGTGTGCTGGTCAAGGGGTGTCTTCGTGGCAATATTGCTGTAGTAGGCATAGGACAGCTCCCAGTCCAGGGGGTAGTTGTCAATACCCTGGTAGTGTTTGTATCCAAGATTCATGGAAGACAGCCTCTCACTGCCCTGGCCTCCTACCAAACTATACAACATGCCCTGTTAGGAAGAAATTTACCAAGTGTTCACAGGATTGTAGCAAAAGGTCATAAAATCCTAACATTGGAAGGTCATCTGGCCCCGTCCCTATATATGAACCTAGTCATTCCAGAAACATGTTAACATGCCTTTAAAAAAAAAATCTTTAGAAAAGAAGCCACAGCAACTTTCTAATGGGTCACAAATTCTAGCTCTCTCTCCTTCTTAATGCCCAATATTATGATTCCTTGACTTCTGCCTTTCACTCAGTGAAAACAGGGGTCGTCCCCTGATTTCTCTCATAGAATCTTCTTGTGTATCTGCCAACTGGTCTAAGGATCCCTGGTCTGCTTCAGCTACATTATCTATGGAAGATGATAAGAACAGTGGCCATGTCCTAATCTTACACTCTCAGAATGTTAGTGTTGAGAAGGGTCTTTGGAGATCAGCTGGTCCAACAGCCTCATTTCATAGTTGAGGAAAGAGGGGAGAGAGAGACTTGAAGTCATGTGTCTATGGCCAACCAGCCACTTTGTGACAGAGACAAGGCTAGAATCTTCCCCCACTATTCTACCTTTGTGGGACTCAGGAAAGCACTTAGAAGGAATATGGAACCACCTGGGCAGGTTGAAACAACCAGTCTCTTCAAATCCAGGATGAACAATCCTATGTGCAGATCTGAAAATTAAAAGTGATCAGGAACCACTGATAGCACTTACTAAAAATGGGATCCCAAATGTTTAGCAAGTTGCATAATTAATTGGGTCTCAGAACCACAAATGAAACAGTCTGGTATGGCTTTTGTATTGATGGCAGAAGGCTGGATGTGATAATATTTTGCTTAGAGGTCCAAATGACTTCACTTAGCTAAATAGTCATGAGAGATAATGGTCCTACAGCCAGCGTAGTTAGGTAGTTATAAGAATGGGTGAGAGGCACCTTGCTTGAAGGAGTGGGATTCTGGTAAGCCCTGCCCCAACTCTTCCTTAGAGTATGCCATCATATCCCCTAGCTTGCGTCCAGAAAGGAAGCGCCCTTTCTCACTCTCTGAAGACAGAAGATCCTGTACTTAACATAGCTCTAGGACATTTTTCTTGAGTGTCAAGATTTTTAAAGGACTCCATGGAGCATGAACAGGTCCGGTTTCTACCTGGGGTATGAGAGCATTACTCTGCAAATATAACGCAGGTGACTGATGTTCCCGGAACCCATGAAATACTCTACCTGCAGCTGATCCCGAGGCACATTTAATCCAGTTTCATAAAAGACTGCGAGGTAGTAGGATGCTTTATGGTATCCACAGCAGCTAGAATCCATCAGAAAGGGGACAACAGAGCTAATTTGGTGAAGACCATCAACACTGGAGAGTCTCTTTACAGCCTTCTCAAATATCCTCCTGCCGATTTCTAATACAGATTCATTTTGGTTCCTTGGCACTGTAAATAACCACAATTCACAGCACACACGATTAATTACCATGGGATCGACGTGGCTTTAGAAAGAAGAGGGAAAAGCCAATTAAACCACCTGAGTTATTAATATGGCTGGTTCTGCAGTGCCTTGAAATACACCACCTTCCAGGGAGGTAAATTAAACCCTTTGGGGATGCCACGGTGTCATTCTGCAAATAGCTTTTTCTTTGGCACTAAATGACAGCCTAGTATCCTGGGAAAAAGGATGTGCCTTATATAGCTGAGAAAGCGCCTCTAGAGAGTAATTTACTCAGTGTAACTCACCACCAAATCAGGACCGCCGAAAGTTCCAGAGAGACTTTTTTTCCCTCTAAGACTCTCGGAAGAAGAATGTGTTTTATCTCAGAAATAGTTCCTAGGTGCTGCTCTAAAAAGTTGCACAAAAAAACCTTATTTTGAGATGCTTTCTTATCTTTTGCCTCCAGTTTTTCTTGAGGGTTTCTAAATACAATAAAAGGAATGAGTCAACTTTTATGGAGGGCCTACAAAATGCCAAATACTGGATTAGGTGCGTTATGCAAATTATGTCATGTAATCTGAACAATTTTATGAGGCAGGTACTATTCTTAGTGTCCTCATTTTTCCAATGAGGAGTTTGAAGCCTGAGGTGTCAACCAACCTGTCCAACATTAACAAAACCTGGCAAGTGGCTGAGCCCAGTTTTGAGTTCAGCTTTGCGGTCACAAAAGCCATTCCTACTTATTCTGCTGCAACGACCTGCTGATGAACAGGCAACGAGATGTCTTAATAAGTACCTTTCCACTCCCAGTAGACCCTTCTCCGTGCAACTGCCTTCAGCTGTATGGTATTTCCTTTCACCTAACCATCCTATAAATCTGATAAACATTTAAGCCCAAACTAGGAAGTTATATGGCCTTATAACGTAAGGGTGATGGTCTTCCAATAGTTTAAAGTAGTTTACACTATTCATCTCTCTTGTTCATTGATTTAGGCAACAAATGTTTACTTTCTATTCTGTGTATCTATTAGATGCTACGATTCGAAAGACCAATAGGATTGTATAGCTATTGTTTACATTTAAAGAGACATGGTCATCTTATTTAAGACTAAAGTTGTATCTGCCTAAAAGTTGTTATGTCCAACATTTTTCTTTTCTTCATTCTATCCAAAATTAAAATGTTACTAATAACTTTCAGGGGGCAGCAAGAGACTCATTCTATCAGCACTCCATTAAGGAGTGAACAGAAATGAGGTTCCAATGTGGGAAAACTGAAATGGGCAGGTCTGAGATCGGATTTATTTAAGGGCAAGTCCCTTGCAGAGTCCATGCTAAAAACAGAGGCCAGTGGGATCCAAGGATGAAATTGCGAAAGCCAAGCCATTGGTTATGAGCTGGTGCCAGTCCTTTTGGGCACACAGGCGGGCGGGCTGCCCCCTGAGTGGGGGACACGTGCCTCCATTTGCTGAGCTGCGGGGAAGGAGCCCACCCCTGCCCGGAGCCAAGGCAGTCTCATCTCCTGGCTCCTGGAACCCCTCACCCCAGCCTTGTAGATTCCAAGGAGCAACAGCTGGGTCTGCTTTTACTCTCTCGATCCCAAGCAATAGGTGCGGGAAAAAATCACCCCGCTGAACACATGGAATTTGCTTCTCTTTCTGTATTTTTTAATCTCTAAAGAGATACCTGCTTGTTTGAAAAAAAAACAAAAAACAATGCAGATTTGTATAAAATAAAACCAGAAGTGCCCTCTCTTCTAATCCTTCTTTAATAGTGAAGACAAGCATTGTTCAAAGCTTGGTGTGTGTGCTTCCAGACTTTTCCCTTTGCACAGACTATATAACTCATATACACATCTCTCTGTATTGATACACATGCATTTTCTTCCACAAAAGCTCCTACAATTCTGACCCTCAACTTTTTTGCTTAAATTAACCACGTATCAGGGGTATTTGTCTGTGGCTGTCAGAAGCCCATTCTTTCTAAAGCTTCGCTAAAGCATTCTATAGCAGTGCTGGGTCCCCAAACAGTTCTCTATTTTTAGACCCTTGGGCTGCTTCCAGTGATTTTGCTATAACCAACAACAGGGCAATGAACATCCTTGAACATTTCCCTCTGCTCATCTGTTGGGATATATCTGAATAATAACCCCCTTTTCCACCAGGAGTCTGGGGATCTCATTTTGGACTTTCCCTTTGAATAGTTGAGAGAATTCCATCCTACCCAACCGTTAGACAGGATAAGAACCAACCTTCTCCGCTGGATTTAGTATGCACTGCAGAACCCCGATGCAGTTGCAAAATAAATCCTACTCCTACTTATTCATATATTTACTTCTAAACATGTACCCATCTCAGATATGCCTCTCTGTGCACATTCTGAGCAAAGCAACATTAACATTTTGTTAATGATTCATCCCCACCTCACCTGCTCTGCCAAACACCTAACCAAGACGATGAGTTTTGCCTGAGTACCCACAGACGTGGGCTTTGTGGGCTCAGAGGAGAGAGGAAACTCCAAACCAAATGAAGCTCCAAATGAAACACTTACCCCAGCTGACCCCTGGCACAGAACCCCAGAAATCATTAGCAAGAGTGCCCAGGTAGCTGGGATTGCTGGAGAATAAGGAGCAAAAGGGGAATCCTTCACAAAGCTCAAAGCTTTAGCACCAAAAACCCGCAGACTGCAACCAAGGCAGATTGAAAAGGCTTCGTTATTTCTTTTACACATTAAAACTCCTAACTCTCCCCACACCCAAATATTACCAATCAGTATTTCCTCTGCAAAAGAATCTAAACAATTTTCTGCACTAGTGAATGTAATAATAAAAAAAAAAAAGTCTAAAGTCAAACTGCTCTTTTTGCATATTCTTTAAAGTTGAAGTTCCAACTGCGGCAGAAAAGCAAAGCCGTGCATGCTACCACTGGTGAGTCTGTAAAACTGGCAATTTCAAAATTAGTTTAATGAAACTGTTAATTTCACCCATCTGGTTTAGCATATGCATTTTTTTTCTAGTCAATCTGTAACTAAAAAACATGCCTTGTTTATGGAGATGAATGGCATAATGAAACAAACAAACAAACACAATAGAAGAAGGAGCCATGTTCCCATTTTCTGGCTTCCTGCCCCAGAAGCTAAGGAAACAAAAGCCCAGCGCCCCCGCTCCACTCCTTAACCCTTCCTGTTTCCCCAGGAGCGCGGCATTGTTGGTTTTGCTTTTCTACAGCAATACCGATACCATAAGGTGGCCATTGGCCGGCTCATCATCAACGGAGGCAAAAAGCAGAAAATGAGAAGGTGGGCCCTTGCTGGGGAGCTGGAGTGGGCATCTGATTGAGAATTCAGGGGAGAGGCAGACTCCTTCCTCGTGAGAGGCACGGGGGGCATCGATAGGAAAGTCATTTTTAGTTTCAAGCTTCCAAAAGGTGGAACGCGTCCAAAGTACAAGCTGGAAAGGGAAGAAGAAGTGAAAGGAGAAAATGTCATTTAACCAGAAAAGGAAGCTCTCACCCGGCTTACTCCTTAAAAAAAAAAAAAAAACACAGCATATTCCTGATTTGCATTCTGATCCCCTGAGCCCCAGAGCCCCAAGGAGGTGGCTTATTTCCCAAAAGTAAACTGCTTGGGGCGCTTGAGTGGTTCGGTGCGTTGGGCTTCGGATTCTCGATTTTGGGCTCAGGTGGTGATCTGTGTCCTTTGTCCATGCTCCTCAGTGGTGAGGCTGCGTCTCTCCCTTTGCCACCACCCCGCCCCCTGCCCGCCCCCCCACCGGCCCCTCCAGTTTTCTCTTTCTCTAAAATAGATAAATAAATCTTAAAAGAAAAAAAAAGTAAATTGCTTGTACTCTTCAGTATGCAAGTTTTCCAGGTTTGTCCCATAATTTCTCTCCGTCCCTTCTCCAACCCCCTCACCCCACCCTCAGGACTGCCATCAGGGGACCTCTGGGCAGGAAAAGTGTGGCCCTCTCTGTTTTCTTCTCTGTGCTTCTGTGTATTTGCTTTAAAAAAAAAGATAACGTATGCTTTCCTAAATAAAAATAAAGATGAAGGTTTTTCAATGAACGACACTGAAAATAGCTCTTAAAGGACACGGTATCCAGGTGTTATTAAGAAACATTACTGTATGTCTACCATTCCCGTGCTCTGCATTTTAGTGTTTCCCAATACACATTGCAATTGTTGGCAAAAAAAGAAGTTAGAAGCGAACCAGTTAAGGCCAGCAACCCCTCGGTATCTAGTGTGGGGCCTCCTCTAACTCTGCACTCAGCGCTCCTAAGCCGGGGGGCAAGGCCGGCCGGGAACAAAAACAAAAATGAGAGGGACAAGATGCAGATGGTCAGCCCTGGGAGGCGAGCCCACCTCAGACCCGGCCTCCTCCCGAGACCCATTTGCTGGCAGACCTTGGACTTCCTGTAGCCACAGCTCCCGTGGGCTCAGACGTGCCCAGTCCAGAATGAAGGGAGGGAAGAGAGTGAACAGTTCCGGCCTCAAGGCAGATGCCCACAGGGGCCTGCTGGTCAGCTCACCTGTCCCACTCACCTGTCCCTGCCTGCCCTTGCACCCCACCTGCACCTCCGTCTTTGCAGCTTTCCTCCCTCCTTCCTACCCAAACCAGCTCTCTGGCTTCGAACCCCACCTCCGCTACCATCTCCGCATCCCTGCAGCCTTTTACCAGCAACCCCCCATCCCCACCACCTCTCTTCCCTGGATGCTGGAGCCCCATTCAAAGGGTTTTTGAATTCTAAGGGTTCTGTTTTGACAAGGAAGTTGCAACAGGAGAGTAAAAGAAATAGCCAGCACACCTCTTAAATAATGAAAAAGCACGCATACTAGAATCCTACCATCCTAGCATTGGTAAAAGCCCAAATGCTAATAGGGCAATTTCTATGCTCTAACAGGAGCCATTTTCCTAGAGAATTGGAGGTTCCCCAGGAAACGACATGGAGGGTGACCAATCAGAATAGTTCCCCTGAAGTCTTGAACACGGTGTCTCCTGTTGGATGCCACCC